TAGTTCATAATTGGTTTCTTTGCCTTTTACCTCGATTATAATTGACTCAATTCCATTCCAATCCGCAGCAGCGAGGACAACAACAACATAATCGTGCACTTCAACATGATCTTCGATCCGTACGCGGGTCTGGTGAGCAGTGGTGACCTGCTGGCCCTGTTCCACGAGGAGATGACCCAGCCGCCGCAGCAGCGTCGCCACTTCGCCAACATGACGGTGGACGTGGCCAGTCTGAGCATCAAGGAGACGACCGGCCTGATCGAGGAGCCCGTGATGTCCAGCTCGCCGCTGGGCGGCCATGATGAGGCCACCGAACCGGTGGTGACCACCACTCCGGCTCCGCCGCGCCGCTGCTCGCCGCTGGAGCTGACCTACTGCCGCCAGGTGGGCTACAACATAACCACCTATCCGAATCTGCTGGGCCACGCCAGCTACGAGCAGCTGGCGGAGGACGTGATCGTCTTCCGGGAGCTGGTCGACGGGGAGTGCCATCGGGAGGCCTACGACTTTGTCTGCCGACTGCTCCAGCCGCCGTGCGACACCCACGGCACCGAATTGCAGCCCACTCCGGGCCAGATCTGCCGCGAGTACTGCGAATCCTTCATGGCTGGATGCGGCAGTCGGCTGCCCCAGCGCTTCCGCCACTTCTTCGACTGCGAACGCTTCCCGGAGTCCACGGGCACCCAGTCCTGCCACCAGAAGCCCCACTGCGTCAGCGACATGCAGTCCAATGTCCAGAGTCCCCGCCTCTGCGACGGCTATGCCGATTGTCCCGATCTCTCCGACGAACGCAGCTGCGCCTTCTGCTCCCCCAACGCCCTCTACTGTGGGCGTGGCCGGGCCTGTGTGCCGCGCAAGGCGCGATGCGATGGGAAAGCGGACTGTCCGGATGGAGCCGATGAGAAGGACTGCCGTGAGTAACTAACTGCAAAAGGGGGGAGGTGCTCAGAAGACTCTGGAGGAAAATTAAAAAAAATATAACCCAAATTTCAAATCAAGATTAAAACGCAAATTTTTAGAGAATAGTCAGTCATTTTAAAGTATGCCACTTTGAAATCGGATGCCTGTAAGAAAAGTTATGGGCTTAGAAGTACAGATTTGGACACTTTTCTGCAAAGCCATTTTTGTAAAAATTGGAAAGGGGTTACATCATAAAAATTACGAAAAGTCGACCCAAAAATGTAAGCCAAGATAAAAACACAGATTTTTAGAGAATAAAACCAAAATCATGTAGAAGTATGTCACCTTAAAATCGGGTCATGCCAATACAGATTTGAAATCATCTAATAACGGTCTGGAACTACAATATGATTGGATACTTTTAAGTCAGCAAGTCCAATAGATAAAATTATATAATATAAATCACTAAAAAAATGCTAAACAAGAAAGGAAAGCTAACTTCGGGCGGAGCCGAAGTTGAAATACCCTTGCAGAATAGTCTGCAAATTATATTCTCCAAAATTATTTATATGATGCATTCTTAATACTCAAAAAAAATCCCAACTTCCTAACTTTAAAAACACCAAAGTTATGGCATTTCCAATCGTTCAGCTATATGGCAGCTATAGAATATAGTCGGATCCTTATGAAATTTGATATGTCGGATTGATTGGGCAAAAATAAAACCCATAGAAAATCCCAACTTCCTAACTTAACAAACAGCAGAGTTATGGCATTTCCGATCAATCAGTTATATGGCAGCTATAGGATATAGTCGGCCGATCCCGGCCGTTCCGACTTATATACTGCGTGCAAAGGAAAGAAGGGTGTGTGCAAAGTTTGAATTCGATATCTTTAAAACTGAGAGACTAGTTCGCGTAGAAACAGACAGACGGACAGACGGACAGACGGACAGACGGACAGACAGACGGACAGACGGACAGACGGACATGGCTATATCAACTCAGGAGGTGATCCTGATCAAGAATATATATACTTTATAGGGTCGGAGATGTCTCCTTCACTGCGTTGCACACTTTTGACCAAAATTATAATACCCTCTGCAAGGGTATAAAAATGTAGTACTTCTGCATACGAAATTAAATAGATCACTACCTTTTTTAAGATTTCTGTGCCAATCTAATATAATCGATATTGACATTTAATCATTTCAAATTCCGTTTAAATTTGTAAGGACATCATTTCCAACCAAAATTTGTCATCATCTGTGCATTCTAACCGAGATTTAACCGAAGAGATTTCTTTGTCCCCTCTGAATATTTATCTCTATTATAAAAACTTCTATTAATAAATTGTTTGTCTTTTTCAGTTTCCATAGCTCCGCTGGCCGCCGATCTGCTGCAGCCGGAGCCCCTGGTTCCGTACCTCGCCCGCTTCCACTCCGCCGGATACGCCGTCTTCTCCGAAAAGGGCGTGGTCGGCAAGCTGTGCGCCGAGGGACTGGAGGGCGATGCCAAGCTGGTGGTGCGCCAGACCGTCTCCGAGTCGCTCTGCAAGTCCCTGGGATACGAGTAAGGATATGGCTAGAACTAGGAATAGTTTCCCCATACAAACTTAGTTATTTCTATTTCGGACAGATATAACTTAACGCTCTGATAATTATTATAATAATACAGTAGAACCCCGGTTATCCGGCCTTCGATTATCCGGCCCTCCGCGTTATCCGAGTTACTGAATGGGGTCGGATAATGCGGACAAATTCGGATTAAACGGAAGGAGTGACCTGCCCTTTATATTCAGCCATGTTTTGTATACCAAGTATTAGACTACGTCAATATATTTCCCATTTTGTATACCTCTACGACTAAACTTGATTTCACTTTTAAAATATGTAGAAAAGAATTGAATTTTTTTAATCCTTTATGTCTTTCGTGCTATCCGAATTTTCGATTATCCGCGGCACCCCTTCTCCACATTACCTCGGATAAACGGGGTTCTACTGTATTGGCATAATTATTTTGTTATTTCTACGCTTCCAAATCTCAACGGAATGGTAAACCAAAACAGCACATCTATAGGTCATAAGTGGCAAATCCGCGTTTATAATAATTTATTATAATTTTAAATTAAATCGAAATTTCCGCCTTAAGGGGTTATCTGGGTCTTGGAGCACGAAAAAAAGCCTATTTTCGTGAATTTTTTTTAAAGATCTTACGACACTTTCACAAATTTCATTTATTGTACATTAATGGTTATGGTTTGACCAACATTGTGTAAAAATTTGAACCAAAAATTTTTAACATTGAGCCGTTGAGGCAGGCTTGAACTTGACCTCATAAAAAATTGTGTCCTTGCGGTAGGCAAAATATCTCCGCCAATTTTTATCTGAAATCAAAAAACCAAAATTATTCCGACAGTGTATGTGTCTCGCTTGTCCTCTACGAGCCATTTTTTTTTTTAAATTAAAAATTGAATGTTTTGTAGCGCTTTTCATAAAAAGTGTCATTTTTTACGTAAATTTTGGCCATATTTTGGCTTATAAAATGAGTTGTAATAAAAAATTAAAAAAATCCCTCCGTTAAGGACAAGAGAATTATGTCTAAAAGAAGTGTGCAAAAGCAGAAGTTGATCGGTGCAATAGTTTTTGAGAAATCGTGACTACCGACTTCAAAAAAGTGGTTTTGAGAAAAACGCGTTTAAAGTGCCGCATCTGCCCGACGCCAGAGCCAGAATTGCCCGTTGTGACGTTCGACGCGCTGGGCTTTAAATTTCTCCCATTCCTACAGTTTTGCTTCGATCGACTTGAAATTTTCAGACAACATTCCTGAAACTTTGTACTATTATATAAAAAAGTTTGAAAAAAATGAATTTTTTGAAGTGTCAAGACCCGGATAACCCCTTAAGAACAATTCCAAGGTTACTCCAGAGTTGACCCTCTGTAAGACCAAAGCCAAGTGCTAATGCTTTGCCTTTCATCCATCCCCAGATCCGTGGAAATCTTCGATGTGCAAAACGACACTGAGCAGTTGAGCGACTACGTGCGTGTCCTGGATCCCCATGCGCCGGAGATCAGCTTCATCCGGACGCACTGCCCCCGGCGGCAGGTGCTCTACGTGGGATGCGGCGAACTGCGGTGTGGCGTCCAGTCGGCGCTCTTCAATGCCAAGCAGCACCTCTCGCTGCCCAAGATGTCGGCTTCCGGGGATTGGCCCTGGCTGGTGGCCCTGTTCCGCGAGGACATCCACGTGTGCGACGGCACACTGATCTCGCAGGACTGGGTCCTCACCACCGAGGGCTGTTTCCAGGGCCAGCCGCGCGCCACCTGGATGGCCATTGTGGGCGCAGTGCGTCTGTCGGCCAAGGCGCCGTGGACACAGCGGCGCCGCATCATCGGGATGATCAAGAGTCCGGTGGAGGGCTCCACGGCGGCGCTGGTGCGCCTGGAGACGCCGGTCAGCTACTCAGACCACGTGCGACCCATCTGCCTGCCGGACGCACTGCAGCGCCGCCTGCTCCGGCAGCCGCCGGCCCAAAGGAGATCCCACGTCCCGGTGGCCGAGCGATTGGAGGGCCAGCAGCTGGTGCAGCGCAGTCGTCTGGCCCAGGAGAACCAGCAGTTCTTCCTCATCCCGTCGCAGGAGCAGCTGGACAGCTCCACGGAGAACCAGGAGGAGGATCAGGATGAGCAGGAGGATCACTTCGGCGCCGAGGCAGCCGCCTCCTACATGCCCAAAGCCGAGGCTCTGCACCAGGAACTGGATGCCTATCCCCTGCCCGACCATGCCCCGCAGGTGAACTACTACGGCGGCGGCGGCTCCTCCTCCTCGGGAGTCACATCGTCGACCTCGACCTCGTCCGCTCGCACCGCAACGAAGGCTCCAGCTTCGGCGTCAGTTCCGGCTGCCCAGGAGCAGATTTGGACGAACTGCAACACCCTCGGCTGGTCCCGACAGCGGGATCACCTGCAGCGCGTCCAGCTGAAGATCGGCGACATGGCGCCCTGCGAGAATGTGTCCATCGCCACCGTGAACTCCATGTGCATGGAGGCCACCTACCAGAAGTACGACTGCACGGTGAGTACAAATTCAAAAATTATTATATATATTTATATATTTCGAAAAAATTTATTAAACTAAAAGATTTATTAAGAGATACATGGCTTCAAAATTAAGAATCTATTTTTTCAGTTAGTTGGTTTTTATAATTTTAATTTGAAAAGTAACTGTTGAAAAATGCAAATTTTAAGACGAAATGAATTGAAAATTAAGGCTGTTTTTATAAAAGATAAATTTGTTTCATATTTGAAATTTTTTAAAAATTAAAGTTAAAAATGTTATTGTGAAGTAAATTTATATATAAAATCTCAAATTATAAACCGCCAATGGGTAGATTAGAAACTAAACTAGCTTTCGTATAGCTTAAGATATTAACAAAAAAGATTTATTTTACATAATATAACATTTGGTTTGGACGATTATTTGGTGCGATAGGTATAGTGTTAGACTTAGGAACAGCGGTTCAACCTTTTGGCTTATAACTACATTTTTGTAATTTTATCGTATACGTACTATAGCTATGTACAATGGGCGGTTAGAGTCTTAAATGCGAATCGAACGCATGACAGGAACGGAGTGGGAAACCACGGAAGTGGCAGCAGTGCGTCTTGTCTTGGCACAGGGCTCCAAGCGTTGGCGCTTCCTTAGAGGCTCCTGCTGCTGGATATCCTCCTCTCGCATTTGAGGAACGGAAATCTCCTCCAGCTGCTGCGACTGTTCCCTGAGGAAGCAATTCTGGCGATGCACGGGAACGGCTCCTTCCCCCGGAAGCGATCCCAGGAAGCAGTTCATTCGATAGACCGGAACCGGCTTATAGTCCAGCACCGGCTCCTCCTTTTCCTTCTCCCCCGCTTTTTGGCCATCGGCCTGATTCTGCTCCACTGGACGCTTTCGCTTGAGGGCTTCGGGCTGAGTAAGACTTCGCCGCATCTGCGACCAGTCGAACTTCAGGTGAAATGTGATCTTTGGGCAGGGAAAAAGGAGCAGGAAATACTCCAGCAAATGCTCCTCGAACACGTAGTTCTTGCCGTTGGTCAGGATCAGGGCGCTCCTTTGCGACTCCGGAATGTCGAATCGGGACATGGCTGGAAAATAATAGTAGATAATATATAAGTTTAGTAATTTTATCGGTTATTTTGGTAGTTTTTCAAAGTTAAAATTTAATTCAATATTAGTTTGAAGATTTAAAATCACGTTCCTTTAATTTTGAGCAGTTATGACTTGTACGATGTAACAATTTATTGAAACTTTTAAGATTACATTTAAAAAGTGATTTGTTTAGGATGAAATAATAACTTTATAAATCATAATGAAGGAATTTCCAATTTTACTGTCAAGAATTTCAAAAGCCACTCTAATTTAATCACTTCATAAATCAGAATTTTTTTCTGTGCACTCAAGATCGGTTTAGAAATTCAAGTAAATTATCTTGGAAGTCACCAACACATTCCAACGATTCTTTTCTTTTTGTTTTTTGACTCACCTTGGGAGATGACGTCCTCGTATGAGTTGGAGGATCCGCAAGTGACCATGCTCGTCTTGCCCTGGAACAGGATCTTCAAGGTGCTCCTGGTATCCGTCATCCTTTGAATTTGTGGATTAAATTGAATCACTTTAATCTTGATCTTGACGCTTTAAATCTCTCTTTGCTCTTCTATCACTATTCGATGTGATGCGCTCGCTTGGAAAGTTGCCGATCGAATGCAATGCAACTGTTGGCGCTTCGTTTTATATGATTGTGTTTTTGTATCCCTTCGACCGTTGTTTCTTCTTCTTTCTCTCCCTTTCCTTTTGTCTGCCTGCAGCTGCATAGTTGTTGTTTTTGCTATCCTAGGTAAACCTTTGCAGGTAACGGGGGTTGTTAGTGTGTTTTCGCTCGTGCTCGCTTAAATGGCAATTGGAGAGAGTAAAAGAGAGAGTAAGAGAGAGAGAGGAAAAATTACTCATTCAATTTGGTTTTGTTTCGACTGCTCTTGTTGTTGTTTTACGTAGAAAACGCGTTTCTGCATGTCGCGTGCGTGTGACGTCACGATCGCCAATTGGGGTGACACGATTTAAGTTCGATGGTGAAATGAAAGAATAGAGTGGACCCTAATTAATGAGAATAATTGTTAGTACATATATGTATCTTAATATGTATGTATGTAGATATAGCCCTCTATCTACACATAATTCGTTTAAAAATATACAAACATTGTTTGTTTTGAGAATTTAAAATTTAATTTTTAAATGCTCAAGTGTTTAAGAGTGAACTAAAGTATTTTTTAAGCACCAATATATTATTATTTTTATTCGTTAAATTATGTGGAATCCTGTTAATAATTTTTTAATGATCAATATAATGTTGTAAATTTATTAATTATTTTTATAAGCTCATTAAATTATTTTTTTATTTAATAAGAAACACTAAGTATTGATATTTGACTGAGTTATACATATAGATTTATTAAATAATTAAAATACATTTTTTTCTTATTTTTTTAAATGATAGCAAGTTTATAGATATTTTTACGCGTTTAGATTTTAAGTAATTCGTATTGATTTTTTAGTAATTATTAATTTTTATCATTCGCTTTCACGGTAATTCATAGATAATGGAAGTTGCATTTTAAGTGCAGTTAATCATTGCATACTTTTAGGACAAAAAAGAAAGGATTTGAAGTACATGCGTACATACATATGTATGTATGTACATACATATCTGTGTTTATTCTATACTTTGTAATTGAATCTCACATTAATGTGCTCCGTCTATTCTTGTAATCCCTCCCCCTTTAGCAAGAGGAGTACTCGGGGGCACCCGTTCAGTGCCTGATTCCCGGCACGAATCAGTGGGCCCTCATTGGCGTCTCCTCCTGGCGGATCGCCTGCGGACCGACGGGCGTGGAACGGCCCAGGATGTACGACAAGATCGCCTCGAATGCCGCCTGGATCCGCGAGACGATCAGCGCGGTGTAGTCCCCGGGGGCGGGGCCACGCCCCCTCAGCATTTGTGTAGAAAACGGAACCGAACTCACTGGGTATTATGTGTGAAGCAACCAATTAAGCATATGTAACTAACCTGCTCTAATGTTACTCGAACCTAACTCTACGCTAACTATTCTTTAAACGTCCTTTTTTTTGCTGTTTTGTGTAATATTTATTAACTATGTTGTAATTGTATGTTAAACATGTCGAAAAGGAAGCAAATTTAGTTGTTAGAATTTACGTTTAGCTGTTTGTAGAAAGATATTGTTGAATAAAATGAAATCGCCTAAATTCCTGATGTGTTAAAGGTGGGTTATCCATTTAAGTGGCGACATGCATGGACTCCCATTTTCCATTGTCCTGCAGGCGGTACTGCACCCGATCGGCGATCTCGTTGAGGCCCACTTTCAGGAAGTCCCATCGCTGCGGCTGGAATTTCCAGGCGGTACTGTAAAGTATAAATTAAATACAATAAGCTAAATGTGAAGTGCCTTTTAATCTAATATTAAACCTAGGGTTACGGCTCGAATGTAAAAGTAAATCCTTGTTGAGATTTGGAGATACTAGTTGATATGTACTTACTAGCTGGCGGGCCTCGCAATGGATTTGCCATTGTGTTCCTGGAGGAACCTATCGTGCCTCGCCTTGAGTTCATCGTAATTGATGGGCTCTCCGCAGGGACATATGTGACCCCTGATTTGGGCCGCCAAGCTCTCCTTGGCCCACAAGGCATCCATTTCGGTCTGGGGAAGCTCCACGGCAGTGGCCCCGATCAGTCGCACCTGCCATGAGCTATCCTTTCCGGTCGTATCCTTGACATCCGGCATGTAGAAGGTGACGCAGGCCTTGGAATTGGCTTGGAGGTTTTTGAAGTTGCGAGTATACCGATGCGTTATATAGAACACGAAGTTATCCGGGGTGAGACCTCGGTATAGGACAGTGCGATTGAGGACTCCGTACTCCTCGTCCACAGTGGCCAGGTTCATTTCCTGCAAAAATCCATCTGGATGTCCTTTGGCAGCTGCCTGAAGGATCTCCTTGAAAAACTCCACGGGATCAGAGGGAAAGTCCTCGATTTTAGCCAAAGCGGAAGACATATTGCTAGGGATGAGTTAAGGGATGATTAAAATTGTTATTAAATCTTAAATTATATTTATTTTACCAACTACAATTCATTACTTGGTTTATTGTTATAATATTATGGGCTATAATTACCTAATTTTAACAACCAATATTGAAAGCAAAATCATTACACTCACCAATTCATTCAAATAAAAGTTACATTGATTACATTTTTTGTAAATTGATTTCGAAACTAAACTATTGGATTAGTTAAATTGAACAAATTATTATTGATAAAGAATTGATTATATTGTAAGGAACTTGATACATATTTTGTACGTTTGATAAATGTCCTAACCACTGAAATCGTTTATTTATTTATTGAAAGTCATTCAAAAATGGCGCACTTTCTCTGCTGTTACCCCTAACAGAGTTGTAACAGATGAGGAAGTGGCTTAGCAACACTACCCCTGCCAGCTGTTCGCCGCCCAGCGTTTACCAACACCATGCCAAATCTGGGCTAAGTCGCGACAAAAAAAAACAAAAATCGGAAAAACGAGGAAAATCAAACCGGAATCGCGAGTCTGGGGCGGCCGAACGGGAAAGCCCGGTGAGGAGCAGCATGACCTCCATTCTGGACATGAAGGCCGGTCCGCCCGACTACTGGGCGGAGATCAGCAACTTCTTCCTGCCGCTGAAATACCTGATCACCAACGACCGCTTCGATTCGCTGGTCCGGGACATAGACCTCTATTACCTTATCAACGGGGTCTTCTGGATATTCGTGGCCTTGTCCTGCGGCTACTATGCCTTCCAGCGCCTCTTCCAGGTGGGTCCTGAATCCTCCGCAAATCCTATCGCCCGTCGTAGCGGCTCCAATTGCACTTTTCTTTTGAGGGGTTGCTCGGCCGAAATCGCGTTTATAAATAAACAGAGCGGACACGGGGGCGGATCCGGGGGTCGACGGGTGCCACCCGAGTGGGGCACCCAAAACCAATGATTTGCACCCCTTTGAGACCTTGTGAAACGGGAAAATGTCATAGTTCTTTGGGAGTATTTCTGTTTTAACGCCCCTTTACCGGCAAACAATAGGTAAATATTCACAAAAACTTGTGTGTTTAAGGGTGACTATAAGTTGGGTTTTTATTTATATGGTTTGTGCTCTTGAATCTGAAAGTTTATTAACGAAAATAATACGGTAAAAGTTGAAATAACAATAAAATAAAATATTAAGCGTATATAGGTTGCTATCTTAGTGAAAACCTTGTATAACCTAAATTGAATCATATAAAAGGTAAAAGTTTAAACATTTAAGGGAGTTTTATATTTAAATTGTATTTTACTCACAAAATTAGGTAAATGCAGTTCGTTCTACTTAAAAAGGAAAGTAAAAAAGTAAACTATATAAATAAACAGAACTTCTTTAGGTAATTAATGCCTTATTTTTAAATGCTTAAACTTTAATACAAGCTTTTAAGATATCTATCTAAATCAATACACTTTCTTGAGGTTGCCTAGACGAAGTAGAAAGTATTTTAAGCTTTAGGTACGTAGTCTAAAAAAGTAAAAAAAGTAGTACTTGCTGGAAATAATAATTCTCATTGTGCTATCGATTCGCATGTCCCGATAATGCGATACCATTGTCTCTGGTTGCACTCCGCTCCTGGCATTAGCGATAGCATAATGCGGCGACCGCCGTCCGATCGGCGCTGACCAAAAGCTATTATCTGTAACGACCCAAGACCAATGCTCGACTAATTGCCCAATATACCCTCCATCCCGTTTCAGTTTTTCCTAAAGTCGTCGAATATGAAGCACTTTCAGCGAAGGCTGTTCGCTCGCGTGATCTGGAACATCGCCTTCTATTCGGCTAGCTGCCTGTTCCTGCACTTCTACAACGAGTTCATGATCCTGCCGCAGCTGATGAAGAACCAGGGGCGCTACTCGCTGTTCTACTCCTCGGAAAACCTCATCTTCTATCGCTCGCACCATGCGGAAAAGTTCCAGTTCTACTCGATCTTCATCATCACGTTCTACCTGCATGGGGCGTGGCTGGACTTCAAGGACGCCGATTTCCTTGAGGTGGGCTCCAAGGGACTTTACCTGCTGTCCCTCATCGCCATCGATGTTTACAGGCAAGTCCAGACTTGTATGCTTTTGCCCTAATCCCTTAAAGAGGGCTGAATTTTGTAAGCTCAATATTAAGTCAGGGTTTTTATAGACGAAGAATGCACTATCTCATATCAATATTGAAGGCATTACATGTTCAACCTCTATATTAGCTTAATTATTAGCAATTTCCTATTTTATAATGTTAATATTGATGTATAATGTATATTTTAATGATAAGGAATTTTATCATTAAAACAAGTTCATTTATAGTATCACTAAGAAGCCGCCGTGCTAATGAACGATAATTGTGTTATCAAACAAAAATGTTAATGAAATTAAATTTGATTATCGTTACAAAAAAGTAACCACGTTTCATTATCATTAAAAACGTAAGGCCAATTAAGGAGTATTTCGTTATCATTATTTAAGTCAATGTACTGATCTATTTTTCAGGTACGAAAACTATTTTGTGGGCCTGAATCTGACTGTGGGGCTGTACAGCATACTCACCGAGGTGCTGGCCCTGCTGGTCCTGCCCAGCACCAATTCACACCGGATCATCTACCAGGTCTTCCTCGGCTTGCGGATCGTCGTGTGGGCGTATGTGTTCGTTAACCTGCTGCCCTTCAAGTACTTCATACCCACGCTGTTCGCCAAGAACTTCAAGCTGCCCCTGAACGTGGCCATTTGGTTGTGGTACGGCCTCTCGATCTGGAACTCCCCGGTGCTGCAGTACTTCTACCATCAGATATATCACACAGCGCCCTCGGATTGTTCGGGCGAAGGATCGGCGGCCAAGTAAGAGCTACTAGAAAACAACTTATACGATTGACTTTTGAGATCCGCAACTAAATGTCTGCTTCTTGCAGGTGCATCCTGGTCAAGGACACCAGCGAGTTCCGTCACTACAAGACGCTGAAAAAGGCCTATTTGGAGGTGAAGCTGGCCCACATAAGGACCACGTCCAACTCGCTGCCCTCTGAAACCAGTTCGGCCTCGGCCAAAACCTTCCAGGCCATAAAATGCGTCATGATGCTGAAGCGCAAGTTGAAGCGGATTCGCGAGGGACGTGGTCATGAGCCGGAGGATGAGAATGATGACCTGGCCAACGACGCCTAATCTCGTCCAGCAGCAAGGACGTCGCACACTCTTACACACGTAGACACACATTTCCTTAAACCAAAAAAGACACAAGTTCTGCTTAGGCTAAAAAATTCACAAAGTTAAAACTACCTCCCACTGGCTATATGTAGCGCGCTCTCTCTCTCTCTCTATCTCTCTCTCACACATGCTAGTTAAGGTTTATGCGCGTTTGCCAAATCGTGATCAACAGTGCGTTTGGCAAAGTTCGTAGAAAATCTCAAATCATAAACAAAAAGTTGGCCATTTTCTGATGATTGTCAACATAATTATTTAAATAAATTTTTACTAGCTAATATAACACAATTTTATGTCAAATTCAAAGATTACAGAATTGTCAATTTTTCAACGAATTGAATGTAAAAGTTTTAAAAAGTTCTGATTTTTCTTTCAAACATTTATTATAAAAAATGGCAAGCCTTGATTTTATTAAATTTATAAATACATATTGATAAAATTTATTCTATATAATATACTTAGCTCCAGATTAAAAACTCAAATCAAAAGGTTCGTAATATTTCAATGAACCATAACCTAACCCATAGCAGCTTGCCATTTTTCTAATGGTTGTTAACATTACTGTCTCAAATAATAATCTAAATCAAGATTGTGAATGAAAAATCAAAGAGTGAAGATAAAAAGACTAATAAGAATCTTGATTTTCAAAATCTTAACAAAAATAAAGTGAGGCTCATAATATTAATCTCATAGAAATATTTAAAATAATTATATAATAGTTTAGAGTTTGATAGTTGCCAAACGCACTGTTCTAAATGTACTTATTCGTGATAAGCGGTACGGTGTGTTTCCATATTAGCGAAAATTGAATACACTGCTATAACTAGTTAACAAATTATTTATTAAACCTCTAGGTAAATTTTTAATCTTAACCAACCACGATTTGGACAACACGCATAAACCAAGCGGCTGAAAAGACCTTAGCAAAATAAAATAGAATTGCCCGATTTTTGGCGCCAACGGAGATCGCTTCGGCAGATATATATAGTTACTATATCTCTCCAACTCTCTCTCTTCCTCGCACACACGAACGCAGTTTCTCTCTCCTTTAGATTTGTAAGTCGCCTTCAACTTATTGTTGTTGTTTATTCGCTGTGACTTAATGACATATTGAAATATTGTAATGTGTTTTTTTTTGTTCCTTTTAATTGAAATATACTATATATGGGCTAAACGAGCGCAATTGAAATGTGTGTGTTGTTGTTACTGGTTGGTTGCCTTCGTTTGTTTTATTCACTTCTTAATTTTATTTGGGTTTCCCTTCGTGGCTGAAATTTTATATTATTTATTTTCTTGCTTTATTTGATATTTGAAAAGAATTCTCTAGTTGAATTTCGGTTTCTCATTTGTTTTAGTGTTTGCATTTCTGGTTAAGAAACTTTTTATGTGATATCCTTGCAATCGTATTTTTATATTTGCCATTAAGGGGAATCTTTTAAAATGAAAAATAATTAAACATTTTTTAATTTTTTTCAAAACATAATTCATTTTTTTATGATTTATCATTCTACAATTGGAATAAAAACCGTCCCTAGTTTTGGAAAAAATTATTTTCTTTAAACTTACAATTTTGAAATGTTTTTTTAAGTGATTAAACAAATTCTGAAAAATATAAACTCTGAAACGTGATAAAAAACACGTAAAAACACAGAACTATACAAAATAGCATATTCGTAAAACATTTTAAAATACGATTTTTTTAAACCAGATTTTCTAGTTTGTCCATAGTTTACGCACATGTTTTAAAACATATTTCAGAGTTTTGGGGCAATTATAATCATCGTTTATCTCAAACTTTTGTAATCAATTGCAAGGGTATTTCAGTGTCGGCTAGCCGATCTTTTAATTCCATTTATATATATATTTATCTTTCCTCGTTTTGTTAACATGGTTTCTTATTTTTGTTTCTGGGGCATTTTTCTATCGTTTCATTTTTGCTTTGTTTTAAAAATTGTCTCACTAAAAGCTAAGTTTCTGTTATAATTATAATATCTTCTGTTTTTCTTATCTTCTTGTGGTTTTACTTGAGTGTTGTTTTGGCATTAGTTTAATTTTAAACATTATTTGGTTTTGGGTTGGCCAATTCTTGCAATTTTTTTTTAGAAAATCTTTTTGTGTTGAATTTTTGTGGTTTACTTTCGTGACGAACAAATTTTTACGTGCCGCGAAATATATTTTATTTTTGTGTTTCATTTTTTTTTGGGAAGTGAATGAGGGTGAGGGATTGCCCCCTGGCTTTGAGCAAAAAAAAATTGTCTATTTTTACAATTAATTTTTGTCTTAGTTTTGTAAATCGTATAATTTTATAGTTTTTTTCTTTGCTTTGTTTTAATATCTTTTCTTAATTTGTTTTTCATATTTTTTCCATTTTTGTTATGTTCTTAAAAGTTAATTCAATTCGTTTTTGGTTTGCTTCGCTCATTTTTAAACAATTTTCCTAAGTTTTTCTTTCTTCTTTTTTTTGCTGTGTATATCGCTTATCAATTTCTTCTGTTAGTTTTAGTTTAATGTTAATGTTAATTTTACTATTAAATGTATGCTTTAAAATTAGTGTTAGTTGTTCTGCGTGAACGCTTCTTAATCGTTCTGTTAAAGGTACGTTCTAAAAAAAATGTCTCCCTTTATGCGATTTTCTCCATTAAATTTTTAGTGTTAGTTTTGCCGGCCCCACTGTGCCCCCGATCCCAAATATATTTATATATATATATGTATATCTATGTGTTTATGTATAAACTGTTTGCAGCTCACAATGTCTTGTGGCAAATGGTAGCGACCCCAAAAAGTCGAGTTCAATTAATGTCCAAAGTCTAACCCCTTTGACCCTTTGGCATATTGTTAGGTTTGCCCATTTTGTTGTTTGTAAAAAATATTTCAACATTTTTACACTTTTGTTTCTCTGTCTCTTGAGTTTTTTTTCCGTTTGTTTGCTCCAATTTCCATATAAATACGATTTAAATAAGTTTTATTCAACGCCTGTTTGCTTTCCATATTTTTTAGTGACTAGTGATATATATGACACGCACGCACACTCACGCACTCGGAAATATTTGGGCCGAGAGAGGACTTCGTAAATCCCTATATCTGGAACATCTATTTGTTTATTCCTGTGAAACCTTAGAGGTTCATTTCATTTGTGCTAAGGATGTTTTCGGCGAATTTTAAGTCAATTGTTAGGGCCAAAAATGTGTTATCCTTTTTGTTTCGTTGAATTTTCGAGAGAGAAATATAGCATATTGCAGTGCTAAAAATCAAAATGATTAAAGACGCTGGGCAGCAATTTTATCAAGCATTACATCTAGAGAATGTTTAAAACCTGCCTTTATAAAACATTTAAGGTTTTCTTCCTTTTATGAAAGAAAACTGTTTGCTCTTATGTTTCGATTTGCGAATTTCAGACAGAAGTGTTATGATCAAATCGAAAACTTAAAAAAAATCTTCTCTTTATTCTCCTTTTTAAAAAAATACTTGTGTGCCTATAGATACTTTTTATGTAATTTTTTCTGGGTTGTTGAAAAAAATGAAAATTACTATTCCCCCGTCTCGCATTCGTTTGCAATTAATCAACTCTCGAATACAATCATTTGCACTTGTCGCAAGAATCAAAACAACGCCATTTAACAAATGCCAAAAACGGCAAACTTTCCGAATGAAATCAAATTCAAATTAGCCAAAATGCCCGCCCAAGGTGTGGGTGTGTGTATTTTTGGGGGCGTGGCCGATAATGAGCCTGCTGAAAATGAGCAGCAGCATTTGGCCAACAGACCAACAACAATAACAATTCCAATATAATGAATGAAATTATGTTGAAAACATATTTTTCCGCCCCTCCCCTCACAAAAACAAAAAAATGTCGACAAACTTTGTCCTCCTGACCAGCCTGGATATTTTTTGCGGGGGTGAGGGGGGCTGGGAAAGTGGTGGGTGTCTGAGGAAAAGTCCAGAGGGAGACTGTTTTCCTATTAGCAAGCAATAAATTCGTCGTTCTTATTGAGCCAAAAGGTGGGCAAAAACAGAAGCAGAAACATAGATAGGACATTAAACGATATGGGGCGGGAAAATGGGGCAAGTGAAAGCGGGGGAGGGGGTGTTGGGGTGGGTCAGTGATGCCAGCAATCTATTTTAAAAGGTAGACGGACTTATAGCTTATATAATTCTAAAAAAATTAATTACAACAAATATATTTACTTATATTTATTAATACAATCCAACATTAAAGGACGGATGAAGTGGGTTGCACAATATTTAAATTAAAATACTGATTAGAAAAAGGCATTTAATAAAAGAAAATCTAAGCCCAAGTAGAAAAATAATTTTTGGCATTGCAAATATTAATATTTATGGAAAAGTCAAAATTAATTTGCATACTAGTTAAAGGTAAAAATGGCAGTTTTGAATACGAAAAGAGGGACATATCTGTCCGGAAAAAGGATGAAGTAACAGCACTGGCCTGGGGTGTTGGGTGGGTGCAGGGGTCCAAATGTGGGTGCGGAAAAGGCTGCCCAGTGGAAAATGTCGCCCGAGGGTGTAAAGTTGGTTTTTGCTTCGAGTTTTTGGCTGGCAAGCGAACCGAAAACCGGCAACGGTAGTGGAAACGGCCAACGAGGGGAAGTTGCCCCGAAGTAGCGACTGTTTCGGCCGGGCTATAACTTTATGATTGCTTTTGTATTGCCCACTGCGTTTGGGGGCCGACACGCGACACTCGGGAACATAGACACAAAGATAAATTGCTGGTACAGTGGGAAATGGCCAATGATGGATATTTCCGGCTAAGCCATTGCCTCCTCGTTTTTTTCGTTGCTCCCATCAATCGGTATCGGTATCGCTTTCCCTTTTTATTTTCTCACAGAGCTCAGCTTAAAATTCAAATTCGAATTGAATGGTTTATTGGAAAGGGTTTAGGGAAATGGTTGCATTGCATTGATTTAAATGTTTTAACCAGCTCTGAATCATTCATGTTTACACCGGATACGGATAGATTGCAGATACGCAATGAAAGGGTTAAAGTCTAGTAATAACCCATAAACCCATAAGCAGTCTATAAATAGCTTAAGTGCCAATTGTAAGCCGGTCTTTGGTATCTCATGGTTATGGCCATTGAAAGTGGCATTTTTTGGTTTTAAGAAGAGCGGGTTTTTGGCGAGAAGTAGTCTGGAACTAGATAGTGGCACTGTTGCGAAAGACTGATAAATAATATTCCGTTTGCCTTTTAATTAAGGTGATAAATATTTTGAAAGTTCCCACTCCTTCAGTGCAATTTAATGGCTGTTCGAAATCAGTGCAACGAAACCAATCAAATAAATTGTGTTAAATTGGGCATGAATTGGTTATGAACCGGTTAACTCGTTTCCCACCCAGACTCCCATCGTCTTGACTTAATTTGCCCTGCCATCGGACATTCCACTGTAAACACATTTAGGCCGCCAAAGTGAAAACAAACAAATAGACCGAATTCTTGGCTACGTTCGCTGCTGATACGCATCGCTCATTGGCGGCCAAAAAAAGGAGGAAAATAATGAAACAAAGCGAATGGCAAAAGCATAAGCAAAATCAACAGCCAAAAGCAAAAGGCAAAAAGCAAAGCGAACTGGCAAGGAGCAGGGCTAATGTCCTTTTTGTGTGTGGCCACACAGTTTGCATTGTTACGACTTCGGGGAGGCTTGGACCACCCACTTATTGACCCAACTCCCAACTCCCAACTCCCGAATTCCCCATTTGTTTTTGTTGTGTCTTGTGTGCCCGCAACAATTATGATTTGCGGTCTCCAACTGCCCCCATTCCGGGCTTACTTATAACCTATTAAAAGCCTTGCGCTTAAATAATATCAAAGCTACACGGAAAGAAAAGTACACGTCCTATAATCTTAGAGGTAATGGGGGTAATGTACTTCTGGAATTAAATGGTTCTTCAAGAGAATTTCTAAAACAGAGATTTTTGAGGGAATTTGAAGATATTTCTGTTGTTCCTTAGATTGATAACTATTATTCAAATTAATATTAAAGCTATAAATCCCTTTTTAATCCAGTAATTTCCTGTACTGTATTTGGAAATTTTTATAGGTATATTTAAAAAAAACTATCTTAGAGAATTTTTCAAAATAACATGATCTTTTAACTGCAAAGTATTAAATATGTAAATTATTCATGAAATTCTTTAACTGATAATAGGATTTTATAATGAAAAATATTTGAATGACGCTTATGAAAGCATTTAATTAAAACATCTCGATCATAAAACAAATATTTCTCTGTGCATAAAAACTTCCGAAATTTGTGCGCTTTTTATATCCCAAACAGGATTCAGCTGACATCGCCACTCCCGCCATCTTCAGATATAATATTTCGTTAATGGCTTTTCATTTTGTGTGCATTTCCCCCTGGTCCACTGTCTGCTATAGCTCTTCGCTTGCATTTCATTTAATTAAAAACTGGAAAAGTGTTGTGTGTGATATGGGCGGGGTGAGGGGTGAAGGGTGAGGGGTGAGGAGGGGCTGAAGGGGCCCAGGGGGCGTGGCGGGAACAATTGCAGTGCGGTGACTGTGATTGACACTTGCTTGTGACGACACACGCATTGTGGTTTTTGTTGGCTTCGACAATTATTCAGGATCAGGCGACAAAAAATTCAAAGTCAAAATAAAAAAAATATAGTCAAAGTGTTTCAATACCATTAATATCTAACAAACAAATTTAAATTCATAATAACTTGGTTTTACGTAACATAAACTGATATAAAATATGTCATATTTGGTTTGTAAAATTGGCAAAAATTCTAGATTTAGTAAAAAGGCTATTATTCAAAAATTGAAAAGTGTAAAAAATAATGCGTAAATATGTATATAAATGTTCTATATATTTGTTTAGAACAAACCAAATACTAAAACTTAGGCAGACAACAAAACATTAGATGTGTTACTGCTTGGAAAAATATTATTGTTCTGTATTCTTAATTTACACTCATCTATACTGAATGGAAATTTATTTACAAAACCAGTTAAACGGTTAATTAATCAACCATAAAAAATATCCCTTTTCTGTACCGCAAATCGAAAAAGAAACCTCTGTCGGCTGTCCACTGTAAAAATTTCCCTCGGCTAACAGAAATATGTTAGCCTGGCCTTTTGCGAACATTTTAAAACTTTATGTTTTTTGTGAAAAAAGGGGGAATTCCCCTGCTGTCAACGTCCTTTCTGTTATTTTTTGTTGGCTCCCCCTAATCAGGCATCATTTGATTTTATGAGCAATAAAAAGTGTGAGGCAAATAAACGGTGCTGCAAATAAAGCAATCGCCATATAACACCAGCAAAAAATGCGAAGGCGAGGAAAACTTTCGGCCTGGCTTTTTTTATTTGGCAGGTCGTCCCACTGCCTTTTCTTGTTGTTTTTTTTTTTTATCGTTTTCAGTGAATTATGCAACTGGAAATTATCATAAATTATGAGCGTGGCGAGCGTGGGAAATGTTAATTGGGCGGCAAAAAGAAACGTGAGCAACTTGGACGCGTTTTTGCCAATTAGGCAGTGCAAGCGACAAAATTGAATTTGAATTTCTAATGGTGATTATTTACTATGCCCACACATGCGCTCGCACCAACACGCATACAGGCCCACGTACACTTGGGTATAATAACTAAAGCTTTGTGCTAACTAATTGCCCCAAGGCGAAATCGTGGAGGGGGTTTTCCGGCTTTTCCGGGGGCCTGGGTCTGCACTCTCCCCCTTCCCTCCCTCAATTTTCCTAGGTTTATTTGCACTAATTTGCATGCCTCATTTGCAGTCACACACATACGGCAACACACACTCATGCACTCGGAGAAAAAGAATCGAGCAAACTTACAAGAAATTGTCCACAAAAACAAAAAAATATTGATTTTTTATAACCAATTTCAATACAATATAATTAACAGATTTAAAGAACATATGCAAATCAAAATAGTTTTTGCATCATATAAAAGATATCCCATGAAATTGGGATAAATTGAATTTATAAAGAATCATGTCAGATGATCAGACAGTTAGTTGTAGCACATTTTTCATTAAGAATATTTTAAATTTTGTAACCCCAGTTAAATATTATTTTTAGACCTTGGATCTTGAAGAAGACAATTTGTTTAAATCAGAAATTTTCTTTTCTTTTTCTCCGTTTGTCTCTCAGTGTACACACATGTATTTATATATTCGCCTTTTTTGTTAGCTTCTTTCCTGTTCCTTTATTTTGGTTCGCTTAGCTAACTAATGTTCTTCTCCTTCTCCTCGTTTTCTTGTTCAACAAATACACTTTTTTTTCGTTATTCTTGATGTTTGGCTAGGCTAATTTAATTTCACTAATTTAATTTCGCTCTCAATTATTACCATAAATCGTATTTAATTATCTGTTGCATACTATTTTGCGCTTCGTTTCAGTTGAATTGGTTTTACTTAATTATTTTTTTTTTGTTTTGTCACTTTTGTCTCTGTTTATTTACGTTGACTAGAAAAAAAACCGTTTTGTTTAGCATCGTTTGCCTGTTTAAACATCAGTGTACAAATTATTTATAGTTAGTTATACCTTTTATGTATACAACAAATACAATTTTATAGTTATAGTTACTTGGATTCTCGTCGTCGTATCTGTTATTTTTGGAACAATTTTTGTGGTTGATTTTTTTTTGTTAACCCCCTCTCTTGTTTGTTGTTAAAGAAAAAACAAATGCGAATTTCATTCATTACTTGTGTTTTGCTTTTGTTGGCTTCTTCAGACTGTGTGTGGTGTGAGTTCCCCCGAAAACTGGGTCATCGATAGGTCCAGCGACCTATCGACATGTCGATAGGCCGACCCATCGATCCGCTTACAACACGGGCCTGGCCACATTGGGCTTGGCCGTCGTCGAGGCGATCTCCGATAGCTTGATGTCGATGGGCATCCGGGTGTCGTAGAGCGTCGGAGCCTGCAGGATAATGCCGGCGGTGCCGACGACCACGGCTATTGTGAAGATCCACAGGAACAGGCGGTCGAGCACCATGGCCACGTACTTCCAGTCCTCTTTCACCTGTTCAAAATCAAATAAGCAAATACATTTGGTTGGCTTAAAACGCATTTCCACTCTTGTTGACTTATTCAAGCCACCACTCGTTATTAAATATCATTAGTCAAACAAAAATGTGTGCGACGGTTTGTGGTTTTAAATCAAACGATGTGGTCAAAGTATTTTAAATGTTTTTTAAATGACCGGAAAATATAGTTAATTTAATACATTTTCTTTGCTGGCCTTATAATTTATTTGAAGCGGTTTTTTGGCTGCTTGACCTATTTAATTTATTCCTTTAAACAGTATTATAATATTATAAAACTTATTAATGAGTTAACCACCTGTTAAGCTATGCACAATTAACTAGCTATCTACTAAATATAATTTCATTGTTTATAAATGTCAAACACTTTAAACTATTTATATACTCTATTTAAAGTCCGGCTTGATAAAATCATTTAATATTGAATATAGCTTTAATAAACTAATCTATTTGATGAAAAAACCTACATTTTTACTTATACTTATGTGTGTTTTGAATATGGCATCTTTAAAAACATTAAATGTTGTGGCAAACAGAATTGCCCCTTCTATTGGCATTCATTCGATATTCATTCGCTGGGCCTGGAGTTCATAAGCCAGGCAATATGTTCAACTTTGTCCACGCGTCTTGCGACTAATTCCCCAGTCAGTCCGATGCCACGCCCCCATCCCACCGCCTCCCATCACCCAGGGGGCGTGGCGCAAGTGACACGCACTCAATGTAAATGCCTCCGACTCCGTCTCGCATTTCTCAGCATTCGATGTTCGATGTTGCAGTGTAGCCTACTTGGCCATTTTATAGCCGAATATAATTTTTCTAAGAAACCTTTGCTATTTTTCTTCATATTAAAAATTGTTTTAAAATATATTTCAAAACGCAATTTAGATTATATAACGTATATAAATAATGGGTAGTAGTTAAAAGTTGTTAAAAAAAACTTTAAATATTGCATTTATGTTGCATTTAACTCTCAAATAATCTACAATTCGTACAGTGACGCTAAATTAAATGTATATGCTTAAGATGTTAATAACATTTTCTTGAAGGATATTTTGGCCAATAAAACGGTAAATTTTATTTTCTGAGAAAAGGCTTAACATTTTAACGGCTTGCTCAAGCTACTTTCAACAACACTGCTCCTGTGCTCTGTTTTCTGTTTTCTGTGTCCTGACTCCTGTTTCCCGTGTCCTCTGTCCTCTGTCCTCCATTCTCCGTCCGGAGGTGTCCTAGATCTGTCCAAGTGTCCGGGAGTGTCCCACGCCTCAGCCGCTAAGCCCGGCAGGACATTCCAATAATGATTGAATGTGTGCGTAATTTTAATAAAATACTTTTATTGGCATTTTGTTCGATGCCACAAGAAAACATTCATTATGATGAGAGGACAGCAGCAACAGCAATGCTCGCAACTACGCGAACAGCCAGACGTACAAGGCTGCACTCGAAGAAAAAATCTGAACTAAAGTCTATAGCATATATTTTTTAAGCCAAAGAATATTACATTTTTTAAAGATTTAAGTCATACTAGTAAAACTATATTGAAAATAAAAATAGGGCCAACATAAATTCCTTAATACTTATGGTTCAAGTTTTTTTTATAATACGAAAGATGTAATTTGAAGAAAATATGATTTCCTGTTTATGAAACTTCTATTTTACAATTAAAATTGGGCTTATTAAACTTAGCTGTGTCTTACCATAACTTTAGAAATAATTATTTCACAAATTTGATATAGCGAATTTTTACATTTTTGTTTCAAGCTGCTTTGTTTTTCGGCTTTAACAGAAAGGACTTTCGCTGAGTGTGCGATGGCAGGACATGGCCATAGTCGCTGCTCAATAAGGCGCATGAAAAGTCATTAAAACTTTTGGCGCAGCCGACATAAGTCCATAGAGGCGATGCCCCACGGACACACATATGGACACCGGGAAAAGGACCGGGAAAAGACCGGGACATCGGCCGGGAAAGGTCATCGAAAGGGCAGAGCCAGTGACAGTCGGACATCATCAACAACTGGGTCCTGACCAAGGTATCTTGACTCTCGGCTCTCGAGTCTCGATACTCGAGTCCTGGCCATCGATTATCGACGTGCCAATAAATCCCGCCTTAGGCCGCTCTAATTTATTGCGCCAGGCTTATTAGCATCAAAACCCACACTGACTTCTCTGCCAGTCTCTATCGCTGTCTCTTTCCCCGTCTCAGCTTCCATCTCTTTCTCCTTCTCAGGTATTCTCCCATCTCTGACCAAACGTTAAGCGGCTTTTGGGCCACTTGTCCTCTTTTTTCCGGCTTTCCAGTTTCCTCCTCTTTATTTTCACTGGCGTGCTGCAATTGCGGCATTCCTTAAGAGGAGCAAACATTCCTTTTCCATCGGGACACGAAAAAATATTTTCTTTTTAAAGCAATTCCCCCAGAACATTGGCCAAATCATCGAAATGTTAAAGGGTGCTTAAGCTTATTGGTTGTATTATTAGGGGATTTTGAATATCCCATTGAACTATGGAATGAATTAACAAGAATAACGCTGTGCTCCAAATTTCTACGTCAAAATTTCATTTCATTTAAAGTGTCCCTTCTTAGAATATAAAATATATATGGATACAAAAATCACTACTATGTTTTTTTTTTATTTTCAATAACATGTAAAATGTATTTTGATTTAACAATATTCACTTGTAGCCCAATTAAACTTAATTTGATAACCAGCATTACCATTGAAAAATGTAAAATGTATATTGTATTTTGCGATTTATCTCTCTTTGAAAATTTGTCTCAAATCGAAACAGAGAAAAAAAGCTTCCTGATTTAGTAGCGTAAAGACATAGTCGAAATTCAAAGACGTATTTCGCATTTGTTTTCTCTCTTAACTTAGGCATTTGAAAATATCAAAGTGACGCGCCAAGTATCAAGACCCTATTTTGTTTCTGTGTAAGTTCAACGTATTGTCTATTTATTTTCTTCTCTATTCCTTATAAAGTAAGTGTAACCCATTAGGACTTTGAGTTAGGGAAGATCGAGTAATGGAAGTTTGAGTTATGGAAGTTCCAGTTATGGAAGTTCGAGTTATGGAAGTTCGATTTATGGAAGTTCCAGTTATGGAAGTTCCAGTTATGGAAGTTTCAGTTCTGGAAGTTCGAGTTATGGAAGTTCCAGTTATGGAAGTTCAACATAGTATCTATTTATTTTCTTCTCTATTGCTAATAAGGGAAGTGTAACCCAATAGGATTTCGAGATAGGGAAGATTGAGTAATATGAGTTCGAGTTATGGCAGTTTAAGTTATGAAAGTTCCAGTTATGAAAGTTCGAGTTATGGAAGTTCCAGTTAAAAAAGTTCGAGTTATGGAAGTTCGAGTTATGGCAGTTCGAGTATGGAAGTTCAAGTTATGGAAGTTCCAGTTATGGAAGTTCGAGTTGTGGAAGTTCCAGTTATGGAAGTTTGAGTTGTGGAAACTCAACTTTGTGTGTATATCCAATTGTTAAGGGGTTACTCTTTTTCTCCCGGTGCACTCACCCTTGTGCTCTCCTCCTCCTTGCGCGTCTGATCCGCGATGTAGGTGACCCCGTCCATGGCCTTGTGGAGCTCAGGGCAGGTGTGCCACCGCTGGCGCACGTTGCCACGCCCCGAGCAGCAGTGCGGCCCGCCCTCTCGCTGGCAGGCGGGCAGAATATCACAGACGCCCGCCGGCGGCGGAGGGGGCGGTGGCGTTCCGGCGGCCGCCGCTGCCGCCGCCGCTGCTGCCGCTGCCGAGGTGCTGGGTCCGCCGGCCGCTGCCGCTGCCGCCGCCGCCGCTGCTGAGGTGCTGGGTCGCTGGTGGTGCTGCTGGTGGTGCTGCTGCTGCTGCTGGTGGTGGTGCAGCTGCTGGTGGTGCAGCAGCTCCGACGACTGGCAGGCGGCCCCGGCGCCCATGCCCTGGTGGATCTGGATGGTGCCGCTGCAGCAGGACTCGGCCAGCGTCGAGGCGGTGGCCACCGAGTTAACCGTCGTCGTCGACTTTATCACATTCGGATTGGCCATGCCCAAATCGCTGGTGGTGGTGGAGGCGTGCGCCTGGTGGGCGTGCTGCGGCAGCGGCGAGAAGTTGGCCGAGCAGCTCGACTGCTGTCGGTACAGGTGGCCACCGCCCCTCCCCCTCCCTGGCCATGACCCCCACCCCCATTCTGACCCGTCTGGCTGGAGGTCGAGGTCATCTGGCGGAACTTGGTGGGCGTGAGCGGATGGTCCAGCAGCGAGCCGCCCGTCTGCTGGTACTGATTGTGGTACTGGGCGTCGATCAGCGAGGATGTGGTCGAGGTCTGCTGGTTGGCCGTCGACATGGTCGGCGGATACAGGGAGCTGAGGTGGCCGGTGATGGTGGAGGCGCCTCCGCCGCCGCCACCCATGCCCATGCCGCACTCGTCCATCAGGTTGTAGGTCTGCACGCGGTGCTGCAAGTGCGGCGAAGTGCTGCGCGATGTCGTCTTTGGGCTGTGGTGCATCCTGAAAGTGAACAGAAGGCATCGTTACTCAACTCTACTTAGAGAAAAATTAATGACACTTATAAACAAGAAAGGAAAGCTAACTTCGGACGGAGCCGAAGTTGATATACCCTTGCCGAATATTCTGTAAATTATATTCTTCAAAATTATTCATTTGATGCATTCTTAATACTCATAAAAAGTCCCAATTTCCTAATTTTAAAAACACCAAAGTTATGGCATTTCCAATCGTTCAGTTATATGGCGGCTATAGGATATAGTCGTCCGATCCTTATGAAATTCAGTAGGTCGGATTAATGGCCAAAAATAAAGCTCATAGAAAATCCCAACTTCCTAACTTTACAAACACCAAAGTTATGGCTTTTCCGATCGTTCAGTTATATGGCAGCTATATGATATAGTCGCCCGATCCGGCTCGTTCCGACTTATATACTACCTGCAATAGAAAGACAACTTTTGGGAAAGTTTCAAGCAGATAACTTTAAAACTGAGGGACTAGTTTGCGTAGAAACGGACGGACAGACGGACAAACGGACAGACGGACGGACAGACGGACGGACAGACGGACGGACAGACGGACATGGCTAGATCGACTCTCTTGGTGATACTGATCAAGAATATATATACTTTATAGGGTCGGAAATGTCTCCTTCACTGCGTTGCAAACTTTTGACTGAAATTATAATACCCTCTGCAAGGGTATAAAAACGTTCGAATTGTTAGGAATATGAGGATGTTTTATTGCATCTCTATATAAATTTAAGGCACGAACCGAAAATAATCGTTAGTTATTTCTTTATTTAAAATACATTTTATAATAAAACTTATTTGGTTTGCAAATGAAAATCAGAGTAGTCTCAAAGTCTTAAATAAAGATTTGTTTCGGGCTCTTTTAATATATATATTTTAACACTGTTTTTCTTTTTTTATAAAATAGTTGTTTTTTTGAAAATTAATGCAAATTGATTTGAAAATTAGGTTCGGAAAGGTTATGATATGTAATTAAGTTGTACTGTTTGTATATTTACTTAAACCCCTATTGGATACAAGCTTACACCAGAAAAAAACTATTTAAAAAATTTGAAAAATATTAAATTATCAGAGGGTTAAACATAAATGTTTTCAAGCCAAATTATATAACAACATCGATATTAGCAAGCAAAGGTAAAAAACAAAAGACAGCTAAGAAAGCCTAATTTAAAACACAAAAACCTATATATAATAGGTAATTCCAACCATCTTTAAACAATGTTAATATTTAACAATGTTAAACATTTATGTTTATAAATAAATAAATAAATAAATAAAAGACAGTTTAAATATATTTCGCCTTAACTTTGAGTAGGGATTATGTACATTTTTCTGCATTTATTTAAAGTCTGGGTATTGAGTTGGATAATTACAGGCATTAACACAAATACCTCCCAAGGTCATCCCCGGGTGAACTTACCGAGACAAGGCCACCGGCGGTGGCAGCGGTGGTATTTGATCCCTCAGTTCGAGGCCGTTGCAGGTGCGCACCATCAGGCGGCGCGAGGATTTGCTGTGGATTAGAGGGAGAAGGGGCGAGGACCAAGGAACAAGGTCCGAGGAAATCGGTTTTTAATAGGGACTCCCATTACTGTGACCAACAGCCAGTCGGGGGCACTCACATCATCTCGCTGATCGGATACAGCGGACGCCGCATGACCAGGAAGCGGGGCAGCTGGTTGATGAACACGGTCCGCACCCAAGGAGCCATCGTGTGCGTCTGCGGCGACCGGAAGTGGATGTTCAGCACCAGCACCGTGACGCATATGCTGCACGGAAAGAAACGGGGGCAGAAAAGGGTTTAAAGTGAGTTTCAAATGGAAAAATTGTTTGTTATCAATAGATACATTTCCTCGAAAACCTTAAGAATAGGAATACATATATCTAAAATTCCTATTCTGTTTGTTGCTTAGACATAATTAAAATATTTAACATAATATTCACATCGAAAAATCGTTTATTTTTAATAGATACAGTTCTCCGAGTAATTTAAAAATAGGAATATATCTCAAAATAATCCTATGCTATGTTTTGTCATTGAAGTTATTTTTTACATAAGAGTTCAAGAAATGTTATTTGTACTGAAATTATTATAAATTTGTGTATGAAAGCAAGAAAAATTATTATATCACAAAAATAATGACATTTTCTTTCTGCACGAAAGAAATGGGGGCAGATATAAAATGTGAAAAATTCATAGATATAGTTCCTAGAATACTTTAAAAATAGCAACATTTCTAAAATTGAACCCATGTGTTTTGGTATCATTTAAGTTATTTTTGGCTTAATCATATTTATTTCATATAATGGCCTGGTCGTCGATTTTTATAAAGCAGTAGAAAAAGGATTCAATGTCACCCAGAATGGCATTTTATTTAAATTTTTAAAAGAATTCTCAACCAAAATGTAAAACCGAGGGATATTTGTTTGCTAACAACTCTTAATATTTTAAATATATAGATTGATTTAAGCTGTGACCATTTCAACATCTAAACATCTTAAAATACAGTTTTTTTCTTAAAATAATTTTTTACGCATCCATAGAACTTAGCTAACATTATTATATAAAAGTGCATGATAAATTGTCACTATATTATGTACCATCTGCAGAAGAGTTGCTCAAGGATAAAATGCGGGGGTGGTGAGAACATGCAGAAAGGACTTAAGTGAGTTGCTCTCTTAGTCTGGGTAATTAACTTTCGACGCCCACGTCTAATTAGCAGCTGGCCAAGGCGTCGGAAAAGAATACGGTGAAGGATGGTGAGGGAAGGGAGAGGGGGAGGGAGAGGGGGAGGGAGAGGGGGAGGGGAAGGGTGTCCTGCCAGCCTTAATTACATCATTTGAGGCGAGGTCCTGTTGCGCCACTGGCGATTCCATTGTTGGCAGACTCCGACTCTCGGTCTCAGTCGACTTTTGTTTACCAACAATTAGGCGGCCATCATTTGGTGTGCCGGCCAGCCGCCTTGTGGGCGTGGCAAATGACTGTAAATTGCCGCAGCCATTTAATAGGCCCCCAGCGGGGGCGGCGGGCAGTGGGCGTGGCACTAAGCCAAACAAAGTCGAACAGCTGCCGAATCGAGTTTTATTTTCTGCCTCCGTTTGCGAACTTACAAAAAAAAAAAAATTACCAGCGGAAGTTCGAAAAACTTTTTAAACTAAATATTTGAAAGTTTTCGAGGATTCAGAAAACTTTTTCATATGAATTTAGGTTCTTAAAATATAAAAATGGTTTCGAATTTGCCAAGGTAACAAATTATATGAATCCAATAATGTTTTCTATCCTAAAATTAACTTTTTTTTTGTTTCTTATAAGTTTCTTGATTCATTGTCATTATTTTGAATAGTTTTACTAACGCACAGAACCATTTAGTATTAGTATTATTATTAGTAATCAATACTTGTATGTGTAACTTTATACTTTGGTTACTAAAAGACCAATAAATCTGGCATAATTGCTTTGAAATACACTTTTGAAAATTTGAGGATAGTTTTGGGTATCTATTATTTAGTAATGAGAATAAATAATTGTATGATTTAGTAATTTAAGATATAAATATAGTTAGGGTTTGGCCAGAGCAATTAGTCGTGCATGCTTCGAAATATACAATTGAAAATTACAGGAATCAATCAGTAATTGGAATAATTGAATTGTAATTTATATATATTTTTACAGTTTTGCGGGATCAATTATTCTGGCATAATTTTTTTAAAATACTCTGTCGATAACTTAACAAATTGTTTATGTATCTGCCATTCAGTAATTGTTTGGCATAATTGCTTTGTAATATTCTATCGATAAATAAATAAACTAGTATTATATATATACATATATATCTGTTTATTTTAGATTTTGTCAGACCAATTTGTCTGGTATAATTTCTTTGAATACTCCATCGATGTTTGGGGAATGTTTTAGGTATCTACAATTCAGTAATCATTTTTGTATACTCTAGTATTATATATATAACTATATATTTAAGGTTTTGTCAGACCAATTTGTCTGGCATAATTTCTTTGAAATACTCCATCGATGTTTGGGGAATGTTTTAGGTATCTGGCCGCATTAGAGGCACATTCCGGGGCTCTGGGAGGGATCGGTGGGTGGGGCGGAGGGGCGGAGGGGACTCACCTGAAGGTATCCAGTATCATGGTGAAGAGCACGAACTTTCCTAGCAGCGGCACCACCAGCGATGTGGGCGGAATGATTTCCGCCAGGAGCAGGAAGAACACAGTGAGCGACAGCAGAATGGATATGCTTAATGAGACCTGCGAAGTAAATATACATAGGGAGTGAGTGCGAGCGAGACAGGAAGTAGGTGGGCGGGGGCCGGGGGCCGAGGGCGTGGCAAATTGAGATGCACGTCGAGCGGAAAATCTAAAGCGCCATAAAGAAGCGACAATTGCGAACTGCGAACAACAACGGGAAACTCCCGGCCCGATAAGGTTTCTCATTTATAATGCATAAATATTGCTCAGCAGACGCAGCTTAAGCTGTTTTCCCTTTTCCCATGGAGAATTTGCCATTTTTCCTCTGAGTTCCCTCACTCCATTGCTTTGATAGTGGCAAAATCAGGGTATCAATTACATAATACTACTTAAAGGTATCAGGTGTCTGGAAATTCTTTTTGGATTACATTATTTTACTGATAGATTTTAGAGTAGTAAATGAAACAAAAACCTAATAAATAAGCTCGAGGAAACGATAAGTTCTGTTTAATAAATATTCTATAACTTATTTTATAGGCAGAGAAATGAACTAGAAAATTGCACTATTTAAATACCAATGAAAATAACTTACATCGCTATTACATTTCATTAATTAAATAATCAAGCCGTAAGTCGTTGGGATTAAGTAATTAATATAAAAACACGTATATGAGCAGTTTGGCCTTATTAATTTATGTCAAATAGTTACAAAAGCTATTAGGCTTAATTTGTTATAACAAAAAAGACATCTAAGCCGAACAGATTAATTAATAAGCGTAAAACAGTTTAGCTGGCTTAGTTTATTAATAAAGAAAAGTTACGCTGACATGGTTAATTAATAAGATAAAATCGCTTAAACCTATTCGCTTTAGGTGGGTAGTTATTAGATCTAGTTTGTCGGGCAATTAAGTTTCGACCTTTAATTAGGATAAATGAGTTATTGGAAAATTTAGAATCTATACATGGCTTATGTACACTTTCTAATAATGATGCTTAAGAAGTTAATGAAAATGAAAGTGATTCCAATATGATTGGTATATAAATTAAACAAATAATTTAATTTAAATTTATCATTTTGATTGATTTAATAATTATTTATTATCTAGAATTGATCTCGAAATGGATAGGAAATTATGGAAAATAAAACTCCAGTAATTAAGCTCATTATTCTCTTTTTAACTTATTTTCCGACTTGCCTAATTATGCAAGGTTGCGTAATCGTTTTTAATTTCAGTGCCAGACAATCGGTAAGATTCCACTCGCTTGGCCAGCAACTGGAGCCTCAAATCCAAATTGATTTAGAATGCCTAAGCGGGCATCACAAGCAAATAATAAGCCAGGGCAACGGGGCGTATGAAAAAGCGGTTTGTCAGCCGGCAATTGCGGCCTTGCCAAAAGCTGGCCAACAAATCATATGCAAAGGCAATGGAAAATGCCGAAAAAGAAGGGAGGAAGGGGGGAAAAGCGTGGAAATGGAAATGAAAACGCGGCATACTTTGCAGGGCGCTCAATAAAGCGCAAAATGATTTGTGGCGGGGTGGGGGGTGTGGGGGTGGCAGGCGGTAAGGGGGCGTGGCAGCTCACCTTATTTATGCCTAAGCTGCTTGTAATGAAGTTTGTTGGTATGGGTTTCGATGTGAGTGTGTTTGCAGAAAGTAATTAAATGTCGAAAATGAGACGCGCGATTTGAGCCTCTCTTCTGTCTGTGTGTGTATTTATATGTTAATGTGTGTGTGTCTGTGTGCGGCATAAATTTTCGATGCTTAATGATTTTATGATAATTAGCCTTAGTTTGGGGCCATCGCTTGTAAAGCGATTAGTGACGTTGCCTAATTAAGGTTACAACTTGCCAAGCAAATCCAATGCCAGCATCTACTCGGCCTTTCCACTATAAATGCACTGGAAAAAAGCAGGGCCATGATTGATTATAAGTTATGTAATACAAATTATATAATTATAATTTTACTTTCTATTTTTTGGGGTAATTTGTAAAAATTAAAAATTTTCAAACATTTATTAATTGCTTTTTGATCTTTTCAAATGTGTTGAGAGTTTTTTTTAGTCAAATTGATACCTCCATCTATTTAAATACAGATAAATGTAACCTTTGTTTTGAAATAATTTAAAAAAGGGCTGTTAGTTCAAAGAAAATTATTTTGGAATAGTTAATTTGGTTCGTGGTCCATTTTAAATGAGTGATATTTTTTTATAAAAATATAAAGTAATAAATAATAATAACAAAAATTACGCCAAAATTACACATAAATATAGGAATCCTATTACACCTAACAAAAAAATAATGCTCAACACTACAATGCTAGTAAAAATAAATATAATAATAAAATAACTCAAAAATAATATAGAATGTCAAATGATTTTCATAACGGTTTAATTGTGTTCTCAGTGGGTTTGTACCGTTAGATGGGTTGCCTTAGAGATGATAGCGATGGCAAGTGTGACCCACGAGAGGGGGGCTATATATGCAATCGCATCACGCTCCCATCACTGGTAGTTTGCTCATTATTTATGCAAATGCTCGGTGTAATTAAGGTGGCCAAATGCATTCCGGTTACGATTTCGGTTCTGTTGAGTTGAGTTGAGTTCGAAGTGGATGGTTCGACAGGACGGCCAACTGATGGGACACTTTCAATCTGGACTCTGTTCGTAAAACGTAATTGTTTCGGCCATAAAAATACGATGCAAATAAACGAAGGGGAATTGGGAACAGTGCGGCTACTTAGTATTGGAAAAGTAGCCCTTCGTTTCCTGCACAGAAAAAAAAAGCTAATATCAAAAATCAAAAAATGTACTTTCAATATTTTTAGACATTTAATTATTATAATATAATGGTTAACTTTCCTAAGACAGTTTTTAAATTTATTGAGCATTAGGAATAACTTGAATGTGACTATATTTGGTACATAGCTTTTAAAGATTTCTGTAATTATGCTTGTTATTAAAAGCCAAAATATGTAATAACGCATTTATTTCATTCATCTTACAAATTGATTTGTGTATATTTTAATACATATCAGAAAGCAATTATATAGGTATACATCGATTGTGTGTACCAAATTAAATTTGTAAACTGTTTTTCTCCAAGTGTACCGCAACCGTTTTCGACCGCCCCCTTTCCACACTCCTGCCATCGGCAATTGCATGAATGAAGTGCGTTGTGGCGCATATGCATGTAAATTGGCAATTCCAATTCCAATTCCGATGCCATCGCAGGGCTGGAACTTCGGCCACGGGGGTCCGAAGGGGCGGTGGGCGGTGGGCGTGGCGGACGTGCCAGAGTTGCCATAGTTAACTGCAGACTGACCAGTGGCGGGAATTTTGGGCGCAGTTCGCAGTTCCCAGTTCCGCAGTTTGTGTCCTGTTTTATTTCGCTGCCTGCTTTTAGGCGTAAATATTTGCCAGCTGTGTGTATCAGTGTGTGTGTGTGTGTGTATGTGAGTGTGTGTCTGGGCGAGTGTGCATGGCCATAAAAGGGACAACAGTGCAATGAAATGTGCCCACACGGCACAAATCGTAAATGTTTCCCCAAAAAGACCAACAAAAATAAAGGGAGTTGCCACAAAAAGAGGGGCAAAACTCCTATCAAAATAATAACACACGAATTGATTATTTTTTATTGGACCAGCCAACTTTAAGTACCAGGAAGGAAATATTAGTATTACTTATGGGAGCAACATAAGTTGCCAAAGTAACGGAAGTAATCTAACTTGACAAATAATGTTGCCAAAATTTAAAAAAATGTATATAAGCCCATTAAAAATTAAAGATAGATTCTTTAAAGACATACATAAGTTATATATTACATTTAAATTAGCTTTTAAATTAAAATTAGAGAAGTGATTATTTATAAGTATATGAAACATCAATAAATTTAAAATCCTTTATGCATAATAATAACATATCTCTTTGCACTTAAGAATTTTATGATATTACAATTACTTAGTACTTAGATCATTTTAAATCATTTAATTGAACTATAGTTTCCGATACCTAAATGTTCCATTATTAATAGGCCAAGCTCTAAATCTATAATTTCTATATTTAAAATTAGATTACTTTTGTAATCCGCCAAATCCCATTTCCCATTGATTGCCAAATTTGTCGGTCTGCATTCAAATATCAAGTGTGATGGTGTCCAAAGCAGCTTAACAAACAGCATTAAACATTGTTTAGATAAATAGTAACCGGCGGGAATTGTACGAACAGGTCGTTTTCGTGTGACAGCTCGTTGTAATGCGTGTATTATGCGATGAGTACTCATCGAATCGGTCGCTCTCAACTCGATAATGCACACGCAAATCGGGAATTTACATAATGCCTGCTGGGATGCCCCATCAAATGCCCGGCGCTGTCAATATTTATAACATAAATTGTGCTCCGTGAGCGATGGGGAAATGTCGGATGGGATCGGCATCAACATCAACATCAGCATCAGCATCAGCATCAGTAATCCACAAACCGCTTGCGCACACAAATTATTTTTGCATTTTATTTATTTTGAAAATTGGCCGTAATTTATTCATAAGTCCCAGGCAGCATGTAAATGTTTATATTTATGCATTATGCCATTTCGTGTTTTCATTTTCGTTTGGCTTTTTCCTCAAAGAATCGCTAAAGAACCGCAAAAAACGCGCCAGACTTTTGTTCGCATTAAATTGAATACATCGTGTAATTTTATTTACTCAAACTTAAATGATGGCAAACGGGGCGAACAAAGCCCCCTCCCCTCTTCCCTCTCCCCCGCTATACCTCACAAAAACAACACAAAAAGCAAACAGAACACTAAAAAAAAAAAAAAAAAATTAAAATCAAAACGAATAAAATGTTGAAATGCATTTTCATTTTCATTTGAGTGTGAAATTATTTTTTTTCTTTTTTAATTAAAAGCACATTTTGAGAGGATGGGCGGGGGGAGAGGGGGTGAGCTGGCAATAAATTATGGCAATTGGTTTAATGCAAAACAATCAGAATGGTGAAAAGTGCGGGGAAAAGGCAGCAGATGTGAACAAAGCAAATATAGCGGGGAAATGGGAAATTGCATATTCAAGCTAATGCATTTCAGCTGCGGATGAACTTGATTCTAATGGTTAATTTTACTATGAATAAATGCAATAACATGTGTATCATTAGCAAAAATCGAATGCCAGAAGATAAAGCTTTTAGAGAGCCGCACAGCCACTATTATGCGACTGATTTAATTAAACTTTAGCTCATTAATTGAACCCGTTTATCAGTCGAGCTACACAATAAAAACTCTTGCAGATAAATGGCAAAGAGTTCAACTTTTTTTTATAAATCCAATTAATTATTTTTTCACTTTTCTATAAAAACTTTAGCTATTAAATCATAAAATATATGATTATACCATTGTATTTGTTTATACTCTTAAAATTAAATATTTTATTTCAAAATCAACAATTATACTTAGTCAATATTTATTATAGTTTTTAGAAAACTTTCAGAAACACTTTGAACAAGAAGTCTTAAATTAAAAAAAAATAGTCTTAAATGATTTGGAAGTCTAAGATAAGTTCAGTATTGCAATATCTCGTATTAAGAAAATTAGTTTGGAATTAAAACTAGTAAGCCCAGTTGAAGCCCTCTTTAACTTTAAGATTTACCAAAGGATCTAGGGATTTTTTGAAACAACATAAATTACAATTATTTAATATTCTTAGTCGTCGAAATGTGAAACTTTACCATTCCTAAAAAAAGGGTTCAATAAAGGAGACCCACTTGTGAAAGACAACACCCGTTTACTATTATCTCCCGCCAAGAAAAAGCAGTTGGGAATTATAACTAGATGGGAATAGTGGGACCAGCCATATATAGTTTTCCCACCCCAGGGATCGGCGTGGACTCACCTTCTCGCCACTGTCCGATGGCAGGTAGAACACGAGGATGGTGAGGAAGCTGATGCCCATGCAGGGGATGATCAGGTTGACCGTGTAGAAGAGGGTCTTGCGGCGCATCGTGATGTTGAAGGTGATGTCCAGATATGGCTCATCGCAGCACGTATAGAACTTCTCGTTCCTGCAATATGAAATGAAAGGGGAAATCGAAGGATGAGCTGGGCAAATTGTTACGCAGCGCGTAAATATTTATTAAGGTTCATTCTGACTGCCAATGTTTATATTGATGGTGTTTTTGTGGAGTTGCCGTTGCTGCATCCGCAGTGTCGGCCACCCAAAACCTATATTTATTTACATAAACACACATATATCCCCAGATATATGGCTCTCCAATCACATAAATCATCGGCCGCATGATAAATATTGTAAAATGCTGAAAAAATATTGGCCTAACTGCTAACTGAGTGTCAAACTTGCTTTGTGTATTTTTGCGTAGCTGCGAATCGAAAGGGAGTGGCTTTAAAACATTGGAAAGTGCGGAAAGTAATTGTGATGTTCAATTGAGCAAAATTTAAGCAAGCTGTGGTGTCAAGGTGAAATTGAGTTTGAAACTCCACTAGTAACGTTTAATTTAATAAACTTTCAATAAAGCCCGATTTAAAAGAGTTCAAAAGCTTATTTAAACAAATTAAACTAAAATTAAAAATAATATTAATTGTTTTTAATTTTTAAAACATTTCATACGTCTCACTTAAAATATTGTATTTTTTAAAAATACTATTTATTAACAATGAAAAATATGATCCTAGTTTATCGCATTATTATTTTGTAGCTATCGTTTTTTTTATTTTATTATATGTATTTAATGTTTTTAATTGTGTTACCATTTTTATATACATTTTTGAAAGCAAAAAAAAATTGTTTATAAATGTTTCCATAAATTTTTGTTGTACATTTTTTAAAGTTTTAGAGCTTATGAATGTCTAGCCTTGCAAAATTGTTTCTTTTGAAGCAATCCAATTAGGAAGTTCAACTAAAAAATCGCTGCCACTTGAACTAACCCTCTGAAACTTTAATCCACTTGCGTTAATCAGTTCGACAGTCATTCAGTCTTTGAGCTTCTCTCATATTTTTGCCCCTTTTTCTTCCTCCGGACCAATGAATAATTTAAAAGTTAATAATCTTTGACAACCACTGCCCACCGAAAAAAAGAGGAATATAAAAAAATAATGAAGGAAAAGAAAGAGAATTTTTGTAAATTGAGTCGAGCGGACTTTTCGTTATGTTTTTGTTGTACCCCCCGTCGCACTTGAAAAACTCTTGGAACAGAAGCTGCCAGTCGAAGGACACGGAACAAAACAACAACAAAAATTTATAAACAACAAAAAATTCGTTACTGCTGGGAAAAAAAAGGGGTAACCAGTCCCCTCCCTCCCCACGAAACTTTTTGCTGTGCTATATGGCCGAGCCATCAATAATTCCGAGAGGCTTGCGGCTTCATTTTGAATAAGAAAATATTGTAAATAAATAATAAACAAGGCGAGGAGCGGGGGGGGGGGATAAAGCGTGGGAAAGGCATGGGGGGGAGGGGGTGGGAGGACACCGACAACGACAAGGACAACGGCAACGGCATCGACAAGGATGTGGCCGGCAGGCAACTAACTGTTTGTGGCAGTTGACTTCCCTCCAAATAGAAATGAAGTATGTGGCAATAGGCACACAAAACGGGGCGAAAGGCATTCCGAAATGGGAATGTGCGAGGGCCAGGGAATCCGGGATTGAAGGCCAACATCTTGTGGGTTAGTTTTGATGGCTGCAGCAATAAAATATAATTTGCCAAGGCAATTCCAAATGTCAGTCACTCAAAAGGGCCCAAGAAGAGGAAACGACATAGGAGGGTATAAAGCAAATTTATTGTTTAAAGGACGTTTTCATAAACAATAATAGTTTTTTTTAAGGAAGTTTAATTGCAATGGAAAGCTTTTTGATATTTTGTATTTACAATTTCAAAAAAAAAAAACCATTAAAAAACAATTCATTAAGGAGAGGATTTAAAATTATTGAAACTGTTCAGATCTGGAAAATAATTAAATGACAATAAATAAATATAAAAATAGAACAATACAATTAAAGAACGAAAATTAGAAGTTTAATTGGTTTATTATTATTATTGTACTTCAAACTAACAAATATTTATTAAACTTTATTTCTCACATAGCAAATATGATTGTCCATTAAAAGGACATTTAAATACGCCAAAACACAAGTGGCCGCAAAGCCCCCAGATCCAATATCCTTCAGCTCACTTGGCTTTGCCAAGTCCCCCGATCGAATGCGAAAAATGTAATATGGCTACAGATTAAGTCTGCTGAAGTGAGCTTTGGTCAACAGGGCATGGAGTGTCTGAATGCGGGGAATCCCCGCTCCACCGCCACATTACTCCTTAAAGATAAGTCCCGGCGGACAGGGACACACGAGTATTCTGACAGAGACACTGGCCCGACAAAAAAGAAAACAGAAAACTTGGAAGACCCTTAAGTCGGCAAATGGGGTGGGGTAGAGTGGGTGGTTTAGTACGTGTAAAGGTCAGTGTAATAAGCTCGGTGACTTGGTGGGTTCGGTTGGTTAGTTGGTTAGCAACCACGATGGGAAAACATACAATAAATCATAAAATAGGCAAGAAAAACACTCACACACACACAGATAGTAATAGAACACGCGTGCCTCCACACACACACACATACAGACACACGGCGCCGGGAGATGGCGCCACATAGGCAAAATCAGAGAAAGGAAGAAAAACGAAAAAAAGATCCAAATAGAGAAAAGACTAGAACACGAATAACAACAAATACCAGCTAAGACCAGCAAAACTTGAGTTTGATTTGACTCGATGGCACATGGCACTCACATATTTCCACACCCCCGACCATCCCTCCATTCCCCCAAACAACACATCCCTCTTCCTGAAATTCCGAAATGGGCAACAATTCATCAATGCGTTGGGCCACGCGGCGTATGCGTAATAAAGAGAAAGAAAAACAAGCAGAAATATGTTTAAAGCCATCTCAAAAGAGTCGAAGTCTAAAACACCCTGTGTGATTGTTACATCTTGTGACAATTTATGATATAACCAACCATTATTATTATGTTTGACCCACGCTGCGTATGTGTAATAATACGTATACGTAGCTGGTTTCATGGTTCAGAAATATTATTCATAAAAAATAATCATTTTATCTTATCTATCTTACAATTACAATTTGTTTGCTTGTTTTTTAAGCACCAATTTTGTATTTAGTATTTTTACTTTTCCCAGGAATTTTTCATTTGGAAGAGGTAAATGGCTTTAGCCCCACTTTTAAACTAATTTTGTTACTTTTTCTATGAATTTTTTAATGGAATATTTGAATTAACTTAATTTGCCGCCAAATTTATAAATCTGGAAAAGATGAAATGCAGTTTGAATATCGTTAAACATATTCTATGTGTCTGCAACACTTTGAATTGAAATAATATATTACGTTCGTTGCCAGCCAAAGCGAAAATGAATGGAAAGTGCTCAAAGCCAAAGGAAATCGAAAACAGCCAAAGTCAAACAAATTTTCCACTTTCCCTTTTTCTTTGCTTTTTGGTGCGCTTTGTGAATGATTTTCTAGTGAAACAGATTTAAAATCAAACGTTATTTAGATTTCCAACCGGCTTACCCTCCTCTGCGTTTGGGTCGCCAAAAAAAAAATTAAGTGAAATTCCAGCGAAATTGAATGTGTAACTCGGCACGTATTTGTGAAATAAGAGAGGTTTTCCCTTTTCGCAGGGACTGGGCTAACCGCACTAAAGTGACCGAAAATGGTCAAATCGCTGATTGACAACGGGGAATACCGAGGCGGATTGGAGGGAAACAGCTTGCTGATTGGAGTCAAAGAACAAACGCATAAATACGAAATGATTGGCAACATAAAAAGGAATCGAGGACATAAAGAAAGCGGAGGAGAGGAAAAGCACTACCCATTGCCACCTAGTTTGGTGGGAAATCGAGAAAGTCGGGGAAATTCGGCGGAGGATAGGTCTCAACGCTTGATTGATTTCAACAACTTTGAGCCAAAAGTTCTCTATGAGCTTTCGAGTGTTTTCCATTTCCCGATTTCTTGTTTTTCTTCTGCACGGTGAAAATTGTCGGAGAAATGTGATCAAAGACGGGAGATTTATTATTACAATTTTCATAAAGTGCATCTTATTAAAAATTGAGCATGCCAAAGGGCAAAACTTTATGCAAAATTTCTGTTTGACAGTCAATTCAGCTTAAAGCAAGAAAGACAAGCCGAAGTTTATATACTCTGGCAGCTGTGAAACAGTTTTAATATTCTTTATTTTATTTCTTAAAAATCAAGAATTGGCTTATTAAAAAATATTTCGATCGCTCCTATGGCAGCTATATGCTAGAGTTGTCCCATTTTTGAAGTTTCATTCAAATAGCTTAGAAACGGACAACAAACAGCTTTAGTTTACAATTTTTTTCCGTGCCTTCATCTCTCAGTTTTTATTCTTCCTTATGGAAATTCGAATTGATGCCAGCCAGAAATCACAGTAAGTAATAGAATCTTAATAACTAACATAAACACGCTTCGTTGCATGACTTGAAAAAATAAAGTGGTGGGGAAGGAGGGGAGGGGAGGGGAGGGGAGGGGTGGCCTCCCAGGATTGGATTGGCGAAGGTCCCCCGAGGCGTGGCAATTGAGGTGTGACCGCAAAACGAAAAAGGGAAATGGGAAATGGGAAAAAGGAGAAGACTCTCTGGAAAGTTTGCTAATTATGGTTTTAATCGATCTGTGATAAAGCAACTGAACGAGTCTAGGGAACGCCAAACCTCAAACACAACCGAAAATTGTGCCTGGTAATCAAGTCTCAGAAATTGGGAAAAGGTGAAGGGGGGGAAAGTTGTCGGGAAAAACAAGGGGAGATGGGCGGGGAGGGGAAGTGGGGGCTTTGCCTGGGCCTTCGTGGTGTATGTGCCCTGCGTGTTGATTTGATGTTGTAAGACCCATTGCGGCAATTAAAGAAAATACAACCCCCGGAGGAATGGAAGGGGGCAATACGAGCACGACAACGAAAGACAACTCAATAAGCGGATACAAAAAGATGAAGGCAAGGCAAAGAAATTGTGCAAACAATGGGTTTATT